ACACAGGACACAGGGGAGTGACCATGATGTCCAGGGACACAGGACACAGGGGAGTGACCGTGATGTCCAGGGACACAGGACACAGGGGAGTGACCGTGATGTCTAGGGACACAGGGTGTAGCCGAGATGGAAAGCTCCAGACGGTGGCCTTGCTCCTCAGGACCTGCTCAGGGTCCAGACACACATTCTGATCAGTGTCAGGCTCTAAATAAGCTTTAAATAGCTTGCCTGCTGAATGATCAATCATATCCACCTATACACACAAACATCTTATACTGTCTTTATCCAGTTCAGGGTGACAGGGGAGAGGGCCCAAGACTGGATGAGCCCTGAACGGGGCGCCACTCCATGCCAGGGCACACACAGAAACACACTCGCACCAGCAGCCACTTAACCTGCCAGCCTGTCTTTGGACTGTGGGAGCAAACACAGGGAGAACATGCAAACTCCACACGGACAGCACCCCAGGAAATGAACCCAGGGCATCATCGCTGCAAGGCGGCAATGCTAACCACTGCGCCAGTTCCACCAGACAAAATATATACTGGACTTAATTCGGATCTGGTCGATTTACCCCATACTTACTTTTGAGCTGCTTAATGTTTAATGTAGCATGTTATAACTTTCATGTTCAAACTCTAATATTTGCAGGCACACAGAGGCAAGCGGGGATACATAGTACCTCAGAATGTTATGGTTGCTTAGTGAAAGTTAACAATAGCTTAAAAATCTATGCAAATTGCAATAATTCATATTTGGTCATTAATTTATTTTTAACATTTTGTAAGAAGTCTGTGAACTCTTTTACGCCCAGCCATTCTAAAGTTCTTCCAGCTGTAAATAATTTTTAAAATGATGCCTGATGCGTAATTTAACAACGTGCAAAATTAAAGCCTAGTTTTGAAAAGCGGGTCACTAAAGAAATAAGATCTGTAGCCCGATTTATAGTTCTTTTCAGTTACTTGACTTGTACTTGACGTACAGACGTACCGAAAACACACTTTTTTTCACTTTTCTAGGCAAACTCCAAAGAATAAAGAAGTGACAACAACATATTTTAAAGAATAGCAAAATTTAATTCATCTGCAGTTAATGAGCTCAATCAGGTTACATGTACACAGCCCCTTTGTACAGCAAATGTAAACAACCCGAATATGGGTGTCATTTTACTGGCTCTAAAAACACACTTTGGCTTTTTGGGGTTGGGGGAGGGGTTATTTCAATATGCACAAGGTTACATAACGCATACAAATACAATACAGTATCTCATGAATTATTTATAACGGCTGCTGCAAGAATAGGATGACAAAATAGGAACTAGCGCTTGTCACCCATTACAAGTTCAGTGCACAACACGATACTTAAAAAAATATATTTAACAACGGCTGAAAAAAGGAAAGTATAAGTTGTATTTTATGTTCCCGTTTTAGTAACACGTGTCAACCTGAGACTATGTTCTTGAAATACACTGCTCTTATTAACAGAAGACGATCTGGTATAAATAAACATTTAGAGGTGGAGACGTTCCTCTCTTTTTTAGAAGGCGGCCTATTAGGGCCTAGTCTCTCTCTCGCATCCCCTCTTCCGCCTGGACAAACGGGGATCGCATCCTACAGATGATAAATATGTATTGATCACACGACAGCGTCAATGAAAACACGGCCGCTCGCGCCGCGAGCCCCAGACGCGACCAGCCCGAGCGGTCTCGCGCAGGTCCGCCGCCTCCCGCGGCACGAGCTGTTCTGATCCAATAACGCTCGCTCGCGCCGGGACCCCGCTTGCCCCGCACACGCTCGCTCGCGCTCGCCGAGCCTCTCGGCTGCGGTAGCCAGCCGAAGCGATCTATTTGATATTTTATCCCCCACTCTTTATCATAAATATATAAATTATGCTAATTAAGACCATTGCATATTAACCAAACAAAAAAAACCTCCCATTTTATTCTCCTTCTTCCCTCTTACAATAAGCACACCCCCTTCAAAAAAACGCTTACCAAGAGCAACTTACCGTTCAAGCGAGACTTTTTGACCGTTTTCGCTCTTTTTTGAAACGCTTTGCTACTGTTTGAGGAGACGGGTAATTAAAAATTCATCTCACAGCTTGCAGCTGGGCACTATGGCTGAACACAAAGAGGTATTTGCATTGATAAAGAGGGTCGGAGCCCCTCAGAACCTCCTCTCCTTAATATTTAATGACGGTCCCGCGGTTACCTGGAGCGCCGGTGAACTCCGAACACCTTGGGGCACTTGGAAAACGGCGCTTTCCGCAGAAAAGTCCCACAAAATTCATATAAAATTGCTCTTTTGCACTACGTCATGAACATAATTTATGCAAGGCCAGTATTGCATGGAAAAAACACCGACTGCCGGACTGAAGGGGGAGCTCTCATTTTCTTAAAGAGAAAGCGGCCGATTTCACTATTTAAAAACAAGTGCGGATTTAGGGCACTGCAGCTGTACGAACGAAGGTCTAACGCGGTCAAAACAGCCCGCGGGACATACATCGTTTTAGTTATATGATATTCTAAAGTTTTGTTTATATTTGTGCATTCTTTGTGACAAGAAACTAAAGTTCTTTTAAAATGGAGTGCTCGAACCGGGAAAAGCAGGTGGCTGTCTCCCTCCCTCTCCAGAACTCCGACATGACCCAAGGGGTCACTGGGGTCATTCCGCTCATGGGGTCCCGGGGTCGATTCTTGCCCGAAGCATCTTCTGTGTGGAGCTCGTGTTCCACCTTGTGGGTTTTTTTTCTGCTGCTGCAGTTTCCTTCCACCATCCAGAACCTTCCCAACGCTGCACTTCATCTTAGCCAAAAGGCTGGGAAGCGATTCCCATCCTTCACAATGCTAACTGGCATCTCTAAAGCATGTCCTGTGATGGACTGGCGTCCCGTCCAGTGCGTGTGGGTCCTGTGATGGACTGGCGTCCCGTCCAGTGCGTGTGGGTCCTGTGAGTAACTGGTGTCCCATCCAGTGTGTGTGTCCTGTGAGTAAATAGTGTCCCATCCAGTGTGTGCCTCCTGTGATGGACTGGCGTCCCGTCCAGGGTGAGTGTCCTGTGAGTGACCAGTGTCCCTTCCAGGATCAGGTCCCGTCTGGGGTCCCGTGTCTGCCAGCTCGCTGTAATATCAAGGTTAGTGTGGTAACTATGAATGCTAGGATGGGATAATTCATTCTTAAAATAAAAAAACCTCATTTCATTCTATAAACCAGGGAGACCTTTCCCCCCTTTTCAGGCAACCCCAGCTTCCAGCTCACAGTGATCCATTTATTTTTGCTTTGTGTTCTGAATACCTGCAGTCCACAGCCCTGAGCGCCAGTCGCCAGTCAGCTAGACTGCCTTCCAAGCTCACCTCCTCCCCTTGGGCAACCCCAGCAAGTCAGAGCCCTTCCAGGCCTGATCAGCCAGGCTGTGGCTCATCCATTTGATGTTTACTGCAGGCCAGTCGCAACAGGAAACGCCCATCCATATGCATGAAGTGGGGCATATGAATAATAATGACCCTCCCCGTGAAAGTGCATATTAATTTGACAGACCATGCAGATTATTGAGTTATGACTGGTTTGCAGATGAGGGAGAGAAATCAGGGGTCCTCCAAACGTTTTGGCTGGGTAGGACGCCCCTATTTAAATCTGTGCTTTCCTTCTTAACTTACACAGCTAACTAACAAACAACTTGAAGTATAGTAGTTAATCCACAAATAATAAAACATTAGGGGCAGCACTCCAGGGCAAGAGATCCTCAAAAAGCCTGATCAAAGCATTTCTGTTGAAGAAGGCACAACTGATTATTGAGAGTGGAGCTTGGATTGGACCTGTCTGTTTTGCCCGAGTTCTCTGACTCTCCCTCTTTTCAAGTCTTACAATATAGGAGTCACATTAATAGTTCTTGTGTAGCGTAGGAAGAGTGGTGTTGTTATAAGACACGTTATGCTAAACTGAACACACCTGAGTAGTTTTATAAGGGACAGGGTGGACAATGTTCCTAGGCACGATGCAAGGCCAGGCTGAAAGAGCTGACATGGATTAGGAGAGACAGGTGAGTCTCAATAGTTATGTGGCTGTTTAGTTCAAGTGACCTCTGGTAAACCAGCCCTGTACAAGACTGGGCACAATCTCCCATCACACACCACAGCGAGCCCAGCTTCACTCCTGGCCAGTATAGATAGATAAGACTTCATTGATCCCGAAGGGAAATTGATGTGTTACAGCAGTCCAGCCCAAGACAAGCAGAAAACAAACAGACATCAGAATAGATGAAAAATTAGAATACGTACAGTAATACAAAATAAATATAAAAATAAATAAATACATAGGTGTGTGCAAAATATGATCATAGTCACTGTAAAAACAATAAAATATGTGAAATATGTGCATAGGTACTGTATATAGAGATTGAGTGTCCAAAAAAGTACAATGGAGCAACATGCTGTCCATAGATGAGCCCTATTATCAGACTCGGGCCAGAGCCTTGCACCAGTAAATCCAGGTAAGGGCTTGCGGCTACAGCCTAAAGGTTAAAGGTCATTTCCCCCATTAGAGGAAGCATGTTGCTTTACTCCCCTGCTGTATCTGTGGAGCTGTGGTCAGGGTTCTAGACTGGTAACTGGAAGCTTGTGGGTTAAAATCCTAGGGAAAACAATGTTGTTGTTGTTGTTGTAGACCTGGGCAATTTGAAATGCTCCAGTTAATCACCCAGCTGTATAAATGAGAGCAAATGTTTAGTCGCTTCGGATAAAAGCATCTGGCACATAAACTAGTCGCTGGAAGGCCATCTCTTCAGGCAGCCTCTGAGCTGCTGCTGTTACTGCAGGAGGCCTGTGCAGAGTCCTGTCTCTGGTCAGGTGGGAGAGGGTAGACAGGTGTGCTCCCCTCTCTCCATGAAGCAGGGGGGGGGTAGACAGGGGGAGTGTTCTGCGCACCTGGCTGAGCTCCCTCCTGCCAGCTCAGGTGAACCTCTCCTCCACGCCTGCACCTCCAGGGACACGCAGCTAGGCAGCGCTCGCCGAACTTCGCCCGGCTCCTCCCT